GTAATGTAATGTAATGTAATGTACTAATGTAATGTAATGTAATGTAATGCAATGTAATGTAATGTAATGTAATGTAATGTATTGTAATGTAATGTAATGTAATGCAACGCAATGCAATGCAATGCAATGCAATGTAATGTAATGTACTGAAATGCAATGTAATGTAATGTAACGTAATGTATGTATGTATGTATGTATGTATGTATGTATGTATGTATGTATGTGTGTGTGTGTGATATGTAAAATGCATAGAAAATACAAAATAAAACACAGACGACAGCACATACGTATGTATATAATCAGATAGGTAGATAGACAGATAGACAGATAGATAGATAGACAGATAGATAGATTAGATAGGTAGATAGGTAGATAGGTAGATAGGTCGATAGACAGACAGATAGATAGACAGATAAATCGATAGATAGACGATACACAGATAGACCGGGAGCTAGCTAGATAGATAGACAGATAGATAGGTAGATGGAGGCTCTATCGAAGGCAGTGGCCGCTGCTGTCGATTTGTGCAGATGGTCGTGCTTGCTGCTCGAGAGCGCACGGTGGAAAGGCCAGCGACATCAGTGGCAAACTATGCCGGATTTCACGAAGCAATCTGACCGAAAGAAATGGAAATCCAGTTCTCTCCAATCTCGGTCCCAGCGTCGGTAAGAGCATGCGACCGCAGACCAAGCGGGGGAGGGCTGCCGTCTTGCATCCTGGTGCATGCTCAAGCTGGGAAGATCAGACCCTGTTCACTTCACACGTGTACAGACGGTCGCCCAAGTGAGTGTTTTCCAAAAAATTGAAAGATGTCCGATGTTACGCCGCAGAGACTTGAAAGGATCAGAGGCAACAAGTTTGCTCGTGTCCTCCGTCTCCTGGGTGATACCACCTGCTTCCTGACAAGTGGTGCACGGATGCTGTTTACCGAACTGCGAGTGGTATCATTGCTGCCGGCTGTAGGATAAAGAGTTGCTCCAGGCCTTTCTGCCATAGGCTTCGGCAACCGTCACAGTCTGCGGTGTTGCCATCTCTGGCTTCTGAAGCCACACGGCAAATCTCTAGGACTGAGGACTCTTTACAGGAACATCGACACAGACGTCGAACAGCTGAGTTGCTGACACATCGACGTCACGAGTGTTGCCCACAGTCCGAATCTCCTGGGCAGCAGCTGGAAATGCAAACCGCCGACATGCTTAGGCCCATACAAACTCAAAGCAAACCTCCAAGTGCAGGCTGAGAGTGCAAGGGAACGTGTTGCTGACACGGAGTTAGGACCCATGTCCAAGTTAATCTGCGCGGGCGTATTGAAACGGAGCGAAGACGGCAACCACGCTTCTCATCTCATCTCTCCTAATCCGTCTTGCTGCCGAAGGTCCGCACGGAGATCGTTGAGGCTCTGTGCGGTATCTGCTCCTTGTACTGACAGCGCTTCCTGCCTCGGAGCAAATCATCACTACAGAATAGGAGCGCAAACAACTAGACAGTTGCAGCCGTCTTACTAAGTTACTACCTCTGCCGCTGTGGGTGCTGCTTCCTCAGCCCACACGAATCACATCGCTCTTAAGCCTTGGCCTCTCGGTCCCCGCGCCCGGCGCACAACTCCTCTGTGGTCACCAAGAGCCGCTCGAAATGGCTCCCAAGCTCTGCCTCCGCATGAATCCGCTGTGACGTGTCTGGAAGAAGAAGGCATCCCATCATCTTCCGACACTGCTTCGATCTGCTTCGCTTGAAGGGATCCTCAAATACCAGCATGCGTCACGTTCAAACATCACCAAATCTTATTCTCGAGGGAATCTCTTTCTGTCGTGGCTCAGGCTGACATAGGCCTTGATTTACTTAATCACTTCCGCTCTGGAACAGTAGGTCCTTCTCATGCACCACAAACCGGATCGATCACTTTTCGCAGAAGATCAGGACTGTGTTCACACAGAGGCCCGTGGGCCCTGAGCCTAAAAGCAACGCCGCAAAACTCCCCAGCAAATGCCGTCTTTCAGGCAACAAGAGAGACCGAGAGCTACGGAAATGACGGAAGAAAGAAAAAGGGCACACTAAGTCTGCAGTACTGCCCACCCACTTGCAACCATTCTGGCCTCTGCTCGCCGACTGGCTTGCATGTTTGCTGAGACCTTCGCCGCAAGAGCGACAGACCGGAAAGATTTCCACAGGAGGCACCGAGCTGCGGCTGCTTGAAACAGCCAGCGGCCTCTGTAAGCCGCTCCATCACCGGATCCAGCTGCTTGAGGACCTGTGACTCTTGCACTGCTTCTTCAGTCTAAAGTACTCGGGTGCTGGTATGTGCTGGTGGAAGGACGCAGCGCAACTGCGTGCACTGCAAGGGCAAGTGAAGCACAGGTAGACTCGCAGACAAGGTTTCAGACACAGCCCATGGTGTCTCATCTCAGAAAATGCCTGCCTAGGTCTGCAACCAACATTGAAGCACAGTCGGGCAGTCGCCTCTTGCCGCTGCTCTTGCACTGCCTGACGGATGAGTCTGGACACCGACTCAAGATTGCTTCATTCAGCGAGCGAGCTTTCGTTCATCATCGGCAGCTTTTTCAGCACACAGCATCCGTTCGGGCGGGTGGTAGTTTCTACAGCCGTGTGAAGCACGCTACTACCTGGACATTTCGAGTCTGAATGACTTCAGTTCGACCTGCCGTGCCGTCGCGGAAGCGGCAGCCATCCGCTCTTCCACGCCGACCTCGGCAGACTTGCACAGGCGCAGCTTGCTCCTAAGCATGGGTAACCGAAAGACTGATCCGAATCCTCACCACAGGTCCAACTTGAACCCTGTCTTCGCTCTCGGCATGAGCACACTCCTGCTTACCCTAATGGCAAACCACGTCGTGCAACTGCTCAGAGACCCCCAGATTGTTCAGGGCCGTCCCTGCTTTGTGCGCGCTGCCATGCAAGTCCAATCTTGTCTAGTGGGTGTCCCTTCGGCACAAGGTGCCTGGGAAAGGAGCCTGAAGCTTCATTGCATCCAAAGTCCGGTTGTAGAAGTTTGGGGTATGTGGGCGATTCTTGGAAATCAAGGACGCCATCATGAGCTGTCTTGCAGACATACACTTTACTTTGCTGTTGTTGGGCCTGGAATAAAAATGATCATTTTCATTTTTGATGGGATACCCGGCCCGTGGGAGATCATTCAGGCGGAGAGTGCTGATATATGTCTACGGAACTCTAAATCTGCTTATGTCGGATGTCTCCAGAATGCGCCGCCTTTTCTTGATGGGCATCGCTGGCTATGAACGAGGAACATGGAGAGAGAGAGAGAGAGAGAGACAGACAGACAGACAGACAGACAGACAGACAGACAGACAGACAGACAGACAGACAGACAGACAGACAGACACAGACAGACACAGACACAGACACAGACACAGACACA